TGAAAAACAATATTTTGGATTAAGCATGAAGCAGAATTATGGGTCAAATGAAAAGAAGATTTAGAAACACAAACAATCATATCCTTAGTCTAGCTTGTGTGTTTAAAGCTTATAACATCCACCTGAATTGATTTTTTGCAGAGGTTATACACAGTAGCATGAATCAGAATTTTACTTTAAAAATATGTTCCAGGAAGAAATACAGGTGGTACAACAAGTTCTAATAAGGAAATGAAGTGCGTGCTTAACATTCATCACCCATTATCAGGAAGCTATTTAGTTCTGGTAAGGATCTCAGCAAAGCAAAGCCTCTTCTGGAAGGACTGTGCCCTGAATGGGATGTTAGTCCATCAAAGGACACACACACAATGCAGAAGCACCAATTAACCAACCAAACATGTTTAACCCATGAGAAAACCGAGGAAGAACATGGAAATTCCACAAGAGCTGCGAGCCAGCAGCACTAATCACAATAACACCCTGCTGCACATAATTAACATTCTTCCAAACAACTTTCACCTTTAGAAGTTTCAACTGTTTACAAGGTGATCTGTGCAGCTTTATCTGATGCAATGTTACTACCTGGTGAAAACGTGCTAGGGATAACCAGTGCCATTACACAAACCTCCAGAAGTCATGCTTCATTTAGTGAACTAGCAGGTGACACCATAAATACAGTTATAGCAAGCTGTAAGACCACAGCATAACTCTACGAAGAAGTGAAAAAGACAAGAAAACTGAAGCTGAATAAATGTAAGAAAAAAAGCTCAGGAAGACCATGAGTCAACCCAAATGTGTGAGGTTCTCTTCCTGTCTAACAGTGTTAGAATTAAACTCTTCAATGTCTTCAGTATTATGCCAAAAAAAACAAACTTTTGTCAGCAATTACTTACATTACACAATGTCAAAGTGTAGTAGGTTACACAACAGGTCAACATACACTCTCAAACGTTTGCTTTGCAATGAAAGTTCTGTAGCAATGTTAGCTGTACAGTTGTAGATTTCAAAGCAAATTACAATACATGAGTAAACATCGAGGTACTCTGAACTAAACTAACATGTAAAAAGACACACTGATGCACAGCTTTGCCTTAGAATAATAATTAATGTCATACAGCACTGTGGCTGATTGCCTATTTTTTCCTCATTAAGAGAAAATGCCTTAGTGAGCTGTTCTGTTCTCTGTTACTCAGCAAGATTCCACATCTCCCAGCAAATTCACTTCTGAAGGGCTATACATCAGCCGTCCGGAAACTCAGGATGATGTTTCTCCTAGAATATGAAGAATGGGCTACTGAATCGGTCCTAACAGTTTTAAATGCAAAAAAAAAAGATTAAGCAAAATGCAAGAAGTTATTTAACAAAAAATGACAGAGAGCACTGTATTATAATAGTAGAGTGTACACCATAAGAAAATGCTCATGTAAATTTAAGTATCACAAATCTGTCACTACTTGCATGATTTACAGTTCTTTTTCCAAAATGAAAGGAACTGGAGGAATTTAAGTCCTTAAACTTAAAGGCAATCATCGATTCTAGACAAGGCTGGTGACTTTCATTGTCCCACAAGAAATGGCAGGCCTAGTTTTTCATTTCTCTGGGCCATGTGACACCTCACACTTCTAATTCTCCGCATCCTGTTGGTCCCCTGTAGCAAAGTCCTCAGCGTATCCTCTGAGCCCGAAGGGCAGACAGCACCTTTGCGTGTTGTGAATGCAAATTATTTATAGTCGTAGAAGGAGAAAACTCCTTAACATTTTAACACCGGTCATGCAGGAGGTGTGCAAAATCTTAATGTTTGGCATGAGGCTGACCAACCAGAAACTGCAATCATATCCAAGTTTATGGTTATACGTTGAACAATCTGAAATTTGAACCTTAAATAACATGAATCATCACAGTTTTCTCCTCCTTTCATAGCCTATTGTGTATGTTCTATATCATTTCCGGATGCTTTTCCTATATAGATCATCATCTTGGTTACCTGTTGCAATACGCTCTGCTTTTGAAAGCTTATCTCAAAGATTAAGGGGGAAAAAATGCTGATGTACAGCAGCAATGCACTATTTTAGAAATGTACAACAATCCAAGGTTAAATGCTCATTTATCTCCTCTGTGCACTTCCTAGCAATAGATGAAAAATGCAGAATAAGTCAGACTGAGTGCTGCAAATCCCTGATTGCAATTTGTGGCACGACGTCTCAAATAGCTGAATGCCACTTCTTTATTTGTACACATCTCTGTTCATTTCTTCTGCCTTTGGGTTTCAGGATGTTGAGGCACTGAATGGCAAAGGAAGATTTGGACTGATTACGTCATTCTCTCTGTTTGCCAACCATAGAGGGAAAGCTTGTCTATACAGTACATGCAAACATGTCGCTTAATGGCACATAATAGGTCTCTAATAAGCCTGCAGACAGGCAGGGAGTACAATCTGTAGTCTTTGTGTATTTATTCCGATTTTAAAAAACACATGATTATAGTCTGCCTCACACAGCACATAACTGCAAAGGAAACAGTTTTTGATTTTCTCCTTGAATACAGTGTTTGTTTGCAAAACCCGAGGTAAAAATTATGGTGCAGGGGAAACATTCGAGTTCTAGAGAAACAGAAGTGTGAACAAGTGCACAGCTTTCCAAGAAACTACCCCCAAGTGAAAACATTGGTTCATTCTACCTCAAAAACCTGCAACTCACAAAAAACCTGAAGACAATCTGACACCTCCAGCAATACAAATGCAATAGTGCAGCTCCTGATAACCAACCAGATTTGGTCTATTTGTAATGGCAGCTTCAAAACCTAGATATTACTCCTTTTTGGTAGCACATTCTATTACATTTTTGCACAATTTGCAATGATACTGAAATCTACTCAAAACTAAGAAAGGTAAATACAGTATTTCCCCTCAATAGTTCAACATCCAATCAGTATTTTGTTATCTGTGTTTTGGCATTTTTTTTTAATCCAACTAAACTAATCTCTTGAATAATTTGTGATTAACAACATCATTTATACTCCTTTCACACCTGCAAAACTCTGTTTACATTTTTCTTCTGTCCGCTTTTTATTGGCAAGCAATAAAGCTGTTTGTGTCAAACTGTTTAAATATTTTAAAAGTCCTGTTTTAAGGCAGTAGAACTAATGAACCTTACATAAAACCAATTTGTTGACGAAAATACAATAAAATGTGGTCAACAACACCTGCAATATCTGAAAATGAAAACAGCTTTCTTGAATTTTATTGGAATCTTTAACATCATTACTACTTTGTAATGCCTGACTGATCACAGCACAAGATATGCTGAACATTACAAGTGACCATACAAAGAACCTAACAACAAAAGAGCAAACTTGTATAACAGAGAATAATGATTGCTTTCTACGGAAGACCAATACAACTAATTTATCTCTATATCTTTCAGCTTCAATGGCTGCTCAGTGTGATCAGTCTCTGCTGTTTATTTTTCAGCTCAAGAATTTAATCTAAACCCTGCCTTCCTTCACCGGGTGTATAACTTATTGATTTACTTCTGCCTGTAATGACATGCCCAGACCTGCATCAGCTAAAGGACTAAGAGTGAGAAAAAAAATCTTCAACATAAAGGCTTATATTTTAACTTTTTTATTACACAATGTAATAACATGAAGTACAACCAACACACTCTAGTACTTGAGACTGAATTGGAAAAAAAAGTATTCTTACAATGCATATCTTAAAAAGTAACAATGTGACTTTTTTTCATCAGTTTATTATTTTTAGAAAATGTTAAATCACCAGATATTTGTCATTAGTATTGAACAACTTGAAATAAATAATTACTAACCCAGTATAGCTATAACAGTTCATACACATCGAAGAGATAATAACATAAGGGCCATCTAAGATGTTCAGGCGGGTAAGCTGCCTCACCATGCGTAGGCTGCAAAGGAACAAGTAATAGGTTTATTCCATGCTGAAAAGAGAAGAAAGAGAACACAACGTTTCGGCCGTGGAACCTTCTTCAGGTGTGAGCTGAAGGCTGAAGAAGGATCCACGGTCAAAACGTTGTGTTTTCTTTCTTTTCTTTTAAGCATGGAATAAACCTATTACTTGTTGCTTTGTATCTAAGATGTTGACAACACAACTACATAGTGTACAGTACAAGTAGGGAGCTGCTTCAGCATGCATAGGCTGGAAAGGAACAAGTAAAGGTTTATTCCATGTTGAAAAGAGAAGAAAAGAAACAACGGCTGAAACGTTGTGTTTCTTTTCTTCTCTTGTTCTCTGTTTACATATGGTACAGTATGTCACTCTCATGCAATAATCCAATACCGTTCGGGCAGTTTCTTTCCCAGATGCCAGCAGAATGAAGGCAGATCTGCCCCTTTACTCCCAGAAAACTTTCATGCATAGTTGGCTAGAGGTACAGCCTGGAACTGAACTGGCAGAACCTGGCTTGTAAGACTGATATTTCAGAATCTTTTACCAGACAGGGCTCTTGTGACCTGCTGTGCTTCTGATTTTATCCATGTGCTCCTTGTTCTGTAAGTCATGTTATCAATATCGTTCTCATTAACTATTTACCTTAGTAATAATCAGATGACAGATTTTGTTCCTTTAATTACCTCCCTCTGGTGTCTACCAATTTCTCTACATTTAAACCAATATAGATAAGCCTCCCTTTTCTCAAATGTTTGCAACCTTTGAAGAAATAACAAAAACATAAAACAGGATCTCGAATTGTATCCTAAATTTTTGGCTTAATAGCTTTCTGTAATGCATTACTGCACGTTTTGTGGTATCAGCTTTATAGGTATGTGCTTTTCATTTAATATACAAAAATCAGGAAGATATCAATAGCCTAACATACAATGCTGCACTACATAACATACAACGTAGCAAAAGGAAATACATAACACAGAATGTTCAACCAAACCGAAAATATGAATTAAAATAGGAAAATTCTCATCTTCCACAAAATAATTTATTGTTAAATATTGTTATTAGATCAAAAACATACCTTTCGCAGGTCATCCAGCCCATACTCCACTGCTGATGTCAGCACCTCAAAGGCCTAAAAGAAACCAGTGAAAACAGTTAGATTAGAAAAATACCCCTGCAATCGTCTGTTTCAAGCTGTTCTTCCATTTACCCGCTGTTAGGTTCATTTTAAGAAAATATAACATGATTAGGTTTTATCAACACTCTTACTATCTTACATACTTTCAGCAATGGACACTCCAATGGTATAACTGCTAATGAAAAAATCCACCACAATCTTATTAATTTTATGTTTTAATCAATAAACATTTTTCATGTAAACTCAACAGAGAAGAGACCCCTCGACAGCTACACAGTTCTATATAAAGATTAGTTTCAATGTTATATTTGACTTGCCGATTTGCTAATAAACTCTATATGCTCCTAAAATAAAAAAAATGAAAATATTTTTTAACTTCCCTTAAAAAATTAAACAAATTCTATTTGATTAGCTAAAATCATATTCAGCACGCAACACTGCATATTCTTTAAAGGTTTAATTCCATTGCAACAGTGTATTTATTTTGACAACAGGTTAAAACAAACCATACTAAAGAGGCTATTTACATTTGTTAGAGATAATGCTTACTAAAGTGTCTTGCTATAAAATATGCCTTGCTTGTGTAAGTAAGAGTTTGCAAATCCTGCATAGATACTGAACTACAGTTAGTATTATGTGCACATTTTCATAACCGTTCTGTCAGACACAAGTATTCTAGGGAAGGCAGAAAGAAATCATAAGATCAGTATATAAAGCAAATTACCATTATAAGCATGGTATTTTAATTTCAAATTTCTAAAGTATCTTATTATAATCCTCATCGTTACAGGTTTAGGTTTTCTTTTTCTTAAACTAATAACTCCTTTAATGCCTTTAATATGCTCCTTGTTATGCTGACAGATGTAAAACGAAACAGACGAAACCCCAGCAGATGGGCTCTGATAATCACCTGCAGCCTGTCCAGATGGGCATTTATTTATTCTACAGAGTGCTCCATTAAGACAGCCAAACTAACTTCAAGTATTTATAAGCGAATTTGTGATAAAGGCAACAAAAACTGCAGGCTTTCTAATTTAAGTGACCTTCTTGATTGTGTAAAGATTAAATGACGCAGAAAACAGAAAATTATTTGTATATAATATAATATGTACACCTGAAGAAGGCTCTACAGCTGAAACTTTGTGCTTTCTTTCTTCTCTTTTCAGCATGGAATAAACCTATTACTTGTTCCTTTGCAGCCTACGCATGCTGACGCAGCTACCCACCTGAACTACCCACATGATATTAAATTGCCCATTAATACTGTAAGAGGAAACACTGTACACACTATGTACGCTTCAACTAATGTAAATGCACATTCCCAACTACAAACAGAAATCTTTTTCTCAACAAGGTGGTGTGGTCCAGTTGCTTAAGGCACACCATTCTTCTGCAATTTTGTAAGCAATATTGTTGCTTAAAATCTTTTCTTTGAACATATCATCTGCAGTAAAGTATAGCTGAAGCCTTCGTCACACTACATGACTCAACAGGACGTCTAGTCGGGGAGCATGTCAGATTTCACAACTGCAGTTGCCGAATCTCGCTGCCTTTTCTGTCCTAGAGGGTGTCAAATTTTTAAGACTAGGAATCGCAGGGGGTGACTAAATACATGATTCCCTCACGACTTTTCATCACGGTTCCAAATCAAAGCTTTGCACCGCCAAAGTACCGCGAGGTCGCTTCATTTTGGCAGCCAATCAACATGGAGCACACCGGAATAAGAGGAGGAGCACCGCACAAAACAACAAACACGAAACATCGAACAGACATCTGCGCTGGCTCCAAAGTTTGACGAGCCGCTCCTCCATTTGCACAGTCCAAAACACTCGCTTTTCTACTTTCTTTGCAGCCTCACTGTATGTGCTGTACTTCCGGTTGAGCGCTCATTGGCTGTTGAGTGTCGCAGACACACGAGCCCGCCCCTACGACGAGTCGCAAAGAGTCGTAGGGGCTATTAGTCAGCTCTTAATAGCCCCTACGACTCTCTGTAACTCCTCGTAGGGGCTATTAAGAGGACCATGACTGAGTCACTGGGGGTGTCACACTACACAACTGACGGTAATGGGGGGGGGGGTTTGGGGGCTCTGCAACACTCTACAGCGAGATTTTCTTACGATCATCTAAATGAAGGCTAAAACTGAAAATCCCAGCAAAAGTCGTGTAGTGTGACGCCGGCTTAAATCCCATTAGATTTCTCTTCTTGACTTTGAAAGTACCCCATTAATGTTACACATAAATAATTTCCAACTCACTGCCTTTTTTATCAAGTTTGGAATCAAACAAAGACATTACAAAAAATAAAGTATGTGATACCTGGAAATAAGCAACACTTGCCTTCTAGAGTAACACTGGCCATAGAAACAACATTATGTCTTTTTTTTTAAAGTGTATAATGAATAAAAGGCAACTTTCCTACTGTAGAGTCAGGTGAAAGGAGTCAGAGGTCAGGCTTTTTATTTAAATACCATTCCTGCACCTAACTGTGAAATTAAAGTGAGGGAATTCCACACAAAGATTTAACCATTACTCACAATGTGATTGTTTAAGGTAACACAGTTAGTGTAGAGAAACTCAATCACAGCTAGGAAAACCTCAGGCTGCGCTTCAGAGAGAACAATGGGAGTCTCCAGCAGTTCCGTGTGGCGACCAGTCTGAAGCTGCTGACTGAACATACCATGAAAAACTTCACAACGACAGGCGAGGATACAGCGGTGAGCAAACACCTCCTGTTGCTCCTTGCCCACCACAAACTTCACATCACTGTTAAAACAAACATAAGAATGGGGGGCAAAAAAAAAAACAGAATTAAAGGATAAAGCCAAAATGGTTGCTTCAAGTTAGAATCAATTAAAAAATTATAATACCAGGTCACAAAAATAACAATCCTGCAGGTTTTTGATGAAACTGATGTTCAGTGTTTGCTTAAAATATACATCAATGGGTGTGTCATCTCTGCTGCACCATTTGCAACAACCTCTCTGCTATTAAGAGCTAGAAAGTGTAGCCTAATCACATAACCAAAACTGAACTCATTTGCAAACAGCAGCAAAAAAAAACAGATCAAAGTACTTAGCCTAACTTCTCTGTATGTCTGAAAGAAAAATCACCCATGTTCCATGGAACAAGGTTGTGGGTAATCATCAGGATACACCACTTGCTAAATGTAAATCACACATTGTTTTCAAAGTAACAAGTGTTGAACTGGAAGATGGGTCCTGCTGTTGTATGTGAGTTTTTTTCACACTCGATGCTTCACTGTCTTAAAAATGAAAAAATAACATAACGTGCTTTTTTGAACAGATATTCACAGAGCTGTACCTGAACGTACAAATCGGTATGTTGTTTTGTGATTTTTCCAAACATTTTTAGTGAGGCAGTACACAAATGTTTTCTTATTTACCCCATGACTGAATGTTAAGGAAGTCTGATAATCACATAATGATAATCAAAGTCAGCAGGAAATTACATTTCTCTTCTATGCCTGTACCATAAAATAATCACTGCATTAACCCACAATTTAACAACTATGAACCATTTTTTTTAAATCTCAGAAACGTTTTTCTCTACAATTTCGTGCATTATTACTGCAGAGTAATTCCTGTCCGACAGTAGCCGAACTACAGTAAAAAAAAGAAACAAGAACAAATGTAAAGTAAAACGAGAAAAGCCGTTTATACCTGATCCCTGATATATTCGACACTAGTACAGAGCATAGGATTAAACATTCGAGGAAACTGCAAAAAAACGTTTGGTTTTACACAAGAACAGTGGGTCATTTTCAAAGGTTTTTTCTCGATCACTCCCTAAATTAGGATATACATACTGGCTTCAAAAATCCTATATCTAAGCATAGGTGATTGCATATCACGCACGAAGGACAGTGGAAGTTTCTACCCTGATTCTTATTTATAACCATCTCAAAAATGTTCTAAACTTTGCACCTCCGCACACAGGCCCAGTCACAGCCGTGGCTCCGCGAAGTTTCCTGCAGCTCTTTACCAGGACTGCCTCACCTGAACTCGGGGTTGTTGACGAGCCTCCGGAGTGCGGCGGTGAACACAGCAGTGTTTCCATTTTTACAAACAGGGAGAAGCGGGGAGTGAATATAAGCCATGCTAGGGAAGAAAGGGGAATGGTGAGGAGCAAATTAGCGTTAGCTTTCGAAAAAGTTAATACGGAGCTGGATAAAAAAACAAAGGGCGAGAAGCATTGCATTGCTGAGCATCGCCGTCACAGAACAGACGTACAGTTAGTACACCAGTAGAGGAGAGGAATCTGAAATTCTAGGCTAAATGTTTAACTGTTCATCCAAAATTATTAACTGTCTTCGCGAAAAAAAAAATAATTCTGAATGCATAGACGAAGAATGTGTTTGACATGCACTACAAGAACAACCAATTATTATTCAAAAGATGCTGCACTCTGCTCTGATCATTTATGTGCAGTGGGAGGTCTTTATGAACATATTCTTGTTTTGGGGGGGGGGGCGATATGTGGAAATTAAGAGAAATTCAGTGTTTTAGCCACAAAATCAGACAATGATGACCTTATTTTTAAAAAAATCACCGACTAATCGTACAATATGTAAATATACATCACAAATGGGAGATGATATTTGTTAAATTTCACCTTTTTTTCAAATAGTTGAGAATTAAAACATGCAGAGCAAATTTTGCCACTCATAGACAATTACATGATTTCCAAAACCACAAAAAGGGTAATTTTTTTTTTAAAAAAAAACCAACATGTGTTACTGAGTAATAGATTTTATTCTTATTTTTTACTGGATGTCCTAATAATAAATCAAACCAAATTAAACTGAAGTGTCTGGGAAAACTGGCCCCACTTTATTCCATGAATGTGTACATTGAAATTCCTAAGAATATGGTTAATCCTAGGACGCCCCACGACGAAAATGGAACGGTATCCTCTACTTCAGGAATAAAATTTCAGTTTGAAGCCATGGCGACGAAGTGCAAGAGGTGGCAGAAAGCCGAGCATTACAATCCTTTCAAATGAATTATTGCACCAGGGCTTCGGTTTCAAGCTGTTGCTGTGTTTGCTGACTTGTCCTCCTCCTTTAGCTAATAATTTACCAAGACATGCAGAATAATTAAACCCGTACAGTTTTAAGAGATTGGATCAGTTTGGACTGGTAACACGTCCAGCAAGTGTCCAGAACTCTTTTGGGGACTATCGGTTTCTAGAGGATTGTAATAGAAACAGAGGCTATAACTGAGGTAGTACCTTTTTGTTTAATTTCTAATTAAGGTAGGTTAAATTTGACTTTTTGTATGGTTTTAATTTAATAAATTATTATACTAATATTTTCCTTATTTTTAAATTACCTAATCATTCTGAAACATTTCGTACTGATGGCCATTATTAGGTCTCTCCCTTGAGTTTGGCCATATACATTTCCAAGCTTTACACAGAAGTTTGGCATCTCCAAGAAGGTAGTAAGATATATCCTTCTCTTATATACAATGATATTTAAGTTTCAGAGGCATGAGAATTACAGAACTGGTTAAAAGTAAAGAGGGTGACAGGCTTTAATTCAGTAACGCAAACATTTTAATTTTCAAAAATTTTTGTCTCAATGTTGCGAGATGTAGGCCACTTCCAAAGAACCGTTTCTTCTTAGCTGCAAACACTACAAAGCATTCAGAGGAAATTTGCATATTTTCACAGTGCAGCAGACAGCACATGAAATGTCAGGATGAACTTACCAACGACCCAGTTACAAGAACTTGTCATGTTTTTTTTTAAGGCAAGACGTTCTTAGTTCTAATTCCATTTACTTTTATCCTTTTTCGCCATTGTTTTACAATTTCACTGAAATCATGTGACACTTTCAGTTGCATTTTGGCTGACAAAAAATGCCCAAGCAAGATAAGTCCAGAGACATACACGATTTTTTGTTGCATTTTGCAAATGATTCAGAAAGTGAAATGTCCAGGTCCACAAACTTGAGATGTTCCCCTAGAGGCTGGCAAATGTATGTGAACACATGGAAACCTTAAACAGTTCCAATCTTCTAAGGTTTCAAGTTGTTCTAAAAGTTTACAGTCGTCTTAATCAAGTCTACAGCAACCGAAGAGTTGATACTTGATGAGAGATAAGCGTTTGGCTCTCTTGGAGATTAAGGGAATCTCCCTTCTGCTGCTGCAAAGTTTTGCTACCTGGTACCCTCTATAACATTATTTTTTTTTACAAGAAGGGATTGACTTAATGTTTTCTTCTTCTAAAAAGTGTTGTTTGCTGGCTTTCATCTGCCTACTCACGTACCTGGTATTAACAACTAACAGGGAAATTAGGGAAGATTTTTAAAGCACATTTACATATAATTACTGTATTACTTGTAAAGAATAATAGTCTGAACGAAAGATGAGTTCTGAAAAAGGTCTCACTTTCTGATTTCTGTTTTTTTTATCATTAAATGGTAGGTCATGCAGTGAGTGGTACAGTGCTCACTGCTGCTGGCTCACAGCCGAATTTGTTTGTGGACTTGGGATGACTTCAGTTTGTTTCCCTGTGTTTATATAGGATTTCACAAGGTGTCAGTCCTGTGAAGAACTGAAGAATTATCCATAGTCCAGTCCCGCCTTGAACCTCCAGGATATGCATTGCTACCAGCAAGAACATCCTCACTGATGACAGATGGATGTCATACATTTTGTAATGTTAAGAGAAGATACAAATATTACCTTTTGGAAAATAAACCTTTCTTATCGTTCTTATGGATTGTATGGAGACTAACAGGAAAATTTTGGTATAACTGCATAAATGAATCGTTTTAGAGATAGGTTTGCAGTGGTTTGCAGCTATCAGACATTTGTGACACAAAGGATTAAAAGAAAAGATGAAAGGTTGGAAAGAGATTTCATTAATTGAATTAAGAGAAAAATGTCTTAAAAATTACACTTCTTACATTTTTTGTAGTTTGTAAATACGATCGGTGATGATTTAATAGCGGATAGGCCTGAAAACATTACTTGTAGCCCCTTCCAAACATTTCCATTGTTTTCTTCCGTTCTAGGTCAGATCTGGTCGCTATGACAACAAGGCAGCTCCCCCTGTCAAAGGAGACCCTAGCGAAGTTTGACCAGGGGCTGGCTGCGGACCCGGGAGGGCTCTTAAGGAGACGAGCCGGCTCTCTGTCAACCAGGCGCAGTTCTCAGTCCGGCGATCTCCACCACTCGAAGCCCCTTTTGTTACTCGGCAATGGGGAAGCCAGCCGACCGGCGGCTCTCTCGCGCCGCAGCTCGGTCCTTAGTAACTTCAATTCCCCGTTCGCCCGAAAGGAGTCCTTTTCCATGGGAAAACGCCTCTCCTTGGGGCCTTGGATGCACTGCGGCCGGGTCAGTTTTTCTGGACTGCCCTTATACCAGCCAGTGCGGGAGATCCAGTTGGAAAACACATACAAAACCCAACCAGACGAGGGCTGTTGCTTCAATGGTCACAAGGTACAGCAGCTTCTGGAAACAACCCTCGACAGTTACCTCGGTGAAGCCAGCTATAACCCTACCACCTGCGGCCTCCTGACGCAGAACCTCTCCGACCTCATCCACAGCAAGGCAAAGGACATCAATCCTCCCCGCTACAAACTGGTCTGTCTGGTCATACTTGGGCAGTGCAGTGACCAGGGTCTGCGGGTTGCCAGCCGCTGCTTGTGGGACACAGAGACTGACAACTTTGCTGTTGCCACTTTCCAAAACACCTCTCTTTTTGCCGTGGCTGTGGTGTACGGGTTGTACTGTGAGTGAGAATTGTGAAATCAATTTACATCCACAAAAGCTCAGATGGGGGAAATGCAGATCAAATATGTCAGATGAAATGTTAGGTAATTAGGATGGCTGGATATTAGTATCTATTTGACCTAGATTGGGGTACAGATAAAAATTCCTTTATCCACTGAGCTACAAAACATCACATTTACAGCCCCATTAGTAGATACAGCAGTGATCAGAAATGATCCGGAAGTTGTAATGCAAAAAATAGGCTATATTTAGCATAAGACACACTTGTGCATCCATTCCATTAGTTTGTCTTGAAGGGAAATTTGCAAGCATTTATTTGAAGTGAAATATGCAAAAGTGTAAAGTGATTAAATCCCCTTTTCACAAATGAATTCTCGGGTTTTATTTTTAATACCGTAACATTTCAGTGTCCTGTACCTCACTTTCTGGCCAATACTTAAGGCTAGAGATACTAACTGCAGACAAAAAAAA